TGAAAGTAAAAAGTAAGAAAAGGAAGCCAGTGAAAGTGGGTGATCTCATTCACTTGAAAATCATGGTGTCCTCGTTAAGCCTCAGCCAAGAAATTGGTGGTTAAAGATTTGTCCCAATTTTCGTCTGGTACTGGCGTCCTTTGAAAGTTTAATCCAAAATGAAAGCCCATTCTGACACAGGAAATATGCAATTCTTTCCTGAAAGAATATTTGTGATGCCCCAAACCACAGCCACTAGAAGATACGAAGGCAAGCACAAAATATTACCTGGATCATGATTTATACATGCTGAACAGACAATAAACTCAACACCTTCCTTTGCCCCTACAGAAAATGCTACCAGCTAGCTATAACTATGACACAGTATTTCGAAGCAATATTTCTCAAAGTTTTTTCTTATTTACAAAAGAAGCAATTCATTTTGTAGGACATTTCAAACTGGCAAATGGCCAACAACAATTTTGACCAAAGCTGGGTGCAAAAGGTATCGCAAAACACAAAACGGAAGAATATTTAGGAAAGATGAAAACAAAAGGGAAGATTATTCATCCTTCCATATGGCTTTTTAAAGCCATTCTCAATTATGTATCGTTTATGGTAGTTTCTATAAAATTTTTTCCATTGAGAAGGCAGAAGCCTGAATAAGTTCTGTGAATGCACCAGAAAAGAAAGAGAAGAAATTCAGAATGACAATGGAATTTAGCTGATTGTTTGAGAATCTGTGTGTGATAATGACACTGTTAACCAGGAGAATGGAGAATGTGATCTCATTTGTTTTTCCAGAAAGGGATTTTAAGAACTTAACCAAAAATTAAAGTCTCTAGTGAGAGTGTGAACGTAAGCAATAACAGTCCTACCACAATTATGCATCTGATTGAAAAGGTACAGTATATCAGAAGTCTTAGAGACAATGTTTGTTTTTCTAACTTGTGTGCAAGGGAATACACTCACTTCAATAGAGCGGGAAAAGTATGAGGCTTTCTCAATATGTATTTAGATAACTTTTTACAATGCACAATGTAGACCATATATCATGCCACCAATTCACGTCCTTGGCATCCTATTATTATTTATTTATTTATCTATTTATTTATCTATTATTTAAAATAGATAAATTATTTATTTATTTATTTATTTATTTATTTATTTATTTAGAGATTTTATTTATTTGTTTGAGAGAGACAGACAGACAGACAGAGACAGAGATAGAGAGAGCACAAGTAACGGAGAGAGAAGAAGCAGGCTCTCCGCTGAGCAGGGAGCCTGATATGGGGCATGACCCCAGGACCCTGAAATCACGACGCGAGCTGAAGGCAAACACTTAATGGACTGAGCCACCTAGGTGCCCCTAAACTGTATTATTTAGAGACATTTGGGCCTAAGTGGGATGTTGGAGGTTTCATTGTTCATTCCCTAACTGCCAAATAAAGTCTTTTTTACACAATTCTAGCTAAAATCTAAGACATTTGTCAAATTGTTCACAGATCTTCATAGTCACTCCCCCAACACACCACTACTTGACAACTTCCAATCTTGTGTCTCTCTCTTTTTTTTTTTAAGTTATCTCTATCCTCAATGTGGGGCTTAAACTCACAAGATCGAGAGTAGCCTATTCTACCAACTGAGCCAGCCAGGCACCCCCCAATCTTGTGTCTTAAAGATGAGTGTTTCATAACTTCTTTATTTGGGCTGCCCTTCCATCTGTTTTGGAAATAATTCTTGGAGCCCTTTCATAATTCTCTATAGCTCCTTAAAATTGGGAGGTCAAATCACGGCAAGTCCATACAAACCTTGGATGTGAAAAGACCCTAGGTTGAGTCTCTGCATGGCCAGATACTAAGTGTTGGACCTCAGACAAATTACTACTAATTTTAAGCCTGAACTTTCCCATATGGAAGATGAGAATAACAATGCCTACCTCAAGGAAAATAATGTGGGCTAATGCAGCTAATGTACTGAAAGCCCTAGTGTAGAAGAGCTCACCAGATAAATAGCTTGCAAAAGACAGTAGAAAGTGGGAGCCAGCGACCCCTTTGAGGCTTTCCCCTCTATCATCTGGATCCTGTCACTTCTGCTCATTTTATTGACAAAACTACATACATGATCGTGAGACAATTTCTTGTGTTCCTTGTTTTTTTCCTGACATATTCACTGCTCATCTTATAACAGATCACTCTAAATTTGGGATCTCAGAACTTTATGAAATTAAATATTTTCTCAAAAAGTGTGACTACAACAGAGGAAGTCATTCTTGGGGTTCCATTTAGTTAAAGTATAACCCCAATGCAATGAATGGCATCCTGGAAGTAGCAGATCTTGCCTCCCAAGTGCCCAGGCTTCCCTAGGATTAGTCACTTGGCTGTCTCACCATGCAGCTAGTAATTCAGAGATAATCATGTTACCAAGATGCCATTTAATCTGTATTTGGCATATCTCAAGTTTTCATCTTCATTAATAGAGCCGTCAAAGTTTCATTGGGCCTGACTGGTATTGGACATACTAGTGATTCACCCGGGGCGGGGGGGGGGGTTGCAGTTTGCATGGAGAGACTCTATTTGCCAGATGGCAGCTGTTAATATGCCTGCATCAGGGGTGCGAGGGGGGGGGGGCTAAGCTCTGCTGGCCCCAAGCCAATGGGGCAATCCTTCACCTCTGATTACACATCGCTGTTGGCCCAGGCTAGGGAACCTGGGTCCTTGTGTCAGGGTGGGCTCTCCTCTGCCTGCTGGCTGGAAGTCACCTGGGGCAATGGATGCCAGATGAAGGGAAGGTCCTGTTCCCTCTTAGCATAGGTCATTGAATCAAAAGATTCCTGTGGAAAGCATTATGGTACAGTTGACTGGTGCAAACCCAGGAGTCAGAGAAATTTGGCTTAAAATCCTGACTCTACCGCTTAACTAGCTATGTGAAGTTAGACATATCACTTAACCTCTTTGATCCTCAGATTCTCCCACTTACATGATATGAACCTGAGAATGTCACCATGGGAGGTTCCCCATTAAGTAGTCAGAACAGGGGAGCCAGATGGAGACCAGTCATGCAGTCCCATGCAGTAAACAAATAAGTGAAGGGCCTGGTACAAACTTACAATGACAATGAGTCGAGGAGTAGGGCTTACTCACTCTTTTGCCCCTGGATCTAAAAGAAAAAGAAGGGGCACCTGGGTGCCTCAGTGGTTGAGCACCTGCCTTTGGCTCAGGTCATGATCCCAGGGTCCTGGGATGAAGTCCCATATCGGGCTCTGCTGCAGGGAGACATAGGCACAGGGAGTCTCTCTCTCTGTGTCTCTCATGAATAAATAAATCAAATCTTAAAAAAAAAAAGAAAAATTTATGGGAAGGGGGAGGTTTTAATAAGAGTGATGCTTTGGGGGCTGCAGGGTCAGGGTGTGAGGACAGGCATCTGTATGCAGTGGAATGGGCTCTCCATTAGGGTCTCTTTCTTTCTCTGTTGAAGGTGGGAAGAAGTCTTAGCAACATGTGACACTGGGATAAAGCAGAATGTCCTGAGATTCTCATTTGCCTTTATCTGAATTCTCAATCTCCACAGACCCCAACTGCCTGAAGGCACTTCCTTAATTTTTGCCAATTCTCATCACAGACCCAATTTTTGTGACTTGGTCACTGTGGAGTTTTAAGGTGTGGTGCTCATTCTTGTTAAACCAGTTGAGGATTTCCTGGATCCCCAACTCTCGGCCTTTGCACAGAAGTGTACTACTCTTCTGCTCAATGAGACCTTTGTGTGCCATGGGGCCGAAGGATATTACTGCATAAGAAAGAACCACAGGAAACTCCCATCGTTTTTTGGTAGAGTCTGAGGAAAAAAAAAAAAAGTAAACATGTAATGGGGGCACACTCTGTAGTCTCCTTTTGCTAATTTATGAACTGGAAGATGAATGTAGATTTATAGGAATAGTATAATAAAGTGTCACCATGGTTCGGAGCATAATTTTGACCAATATAATAAAGCAGAGAAACAATTTTCCCCCATGAATGGCACCATCTCTATAAGCCTTACCTTCTTCAAAGCTTTGTTCATTTCCCTTAAATATAATAAATTGGGCAGGCACAAATAAAGAATGATCTGTAAAGGAACACGGACTGATTTGCAATCCATGTCTTGTCTTGGAAGCTAAACTTTTGAGATAATATAGAAGATTAAAACCAGCAAGATACCTCTGGGTTGAGCCGCCACTCTTGTGTTACACTTGTGTTTATCACCAGGATCCACTTCTATTTTTTTCTTCCTTTTCCCCACTTCCCCCTCCTTCTCTGTTGGTCAATCAGATGCCTAATGCCTCTGACTTGTCCAAGAATGGTCTGTGATCCAGGCTAACAAGGCTTCCCTGGGACTGTGGTTGGTGATACAAAGACAGAAGCGCTCTCATATCTAGAACAGCCGCATATTATCCGATGACTGCTGGTGGTGGGAGCCTGACTTGAGAAGGAAGCCAGAGCAGAGTAGAGCAGCTGCAATAGTGAGACGGACAAGAGCAGAGTAGAGCAGCTGCAATAGTGAGACGGACAAGAGAGCACTTACCTGAGTGCTCTCCCTCAGCTATGCTCAAAACCAGAGCTCTCTAGACGCTTCACTTCTGTCAACTAATCAATTCCTCTTTTGGCTTTAGCTGATTAGAGTTGACTTTTTGTCATTTGCAAACCAAAGATTTCTGAGTAATGTGCCACACAAGTAAGGTAAATACTGCCACATTGGGGAGCATGCTCATTTATCAAGCATTTAGTGCATGCTTACTTGATGCTAGAAAGACCCTTTGCATAGCAAAATTACATGGCTTATTTGAATCATTGTCAAACAAAGAGAACACATCTATGTGTTAGTTCAAGGATACCTGACATATCTTTGGGTATCTGAAAAATGTGTGTGTATCTTTTTTCTTCAGTAACTACACAATAGTGCTAAACCATGTGTCAGGCTTCCTGGGTCATATAATATGATGACATAATTCATGAATCTTTGCTGACACTTTCATTTTCACAAAGGCATGAAGAACTGCTTTTTGTGTTCGTGGGCTGATGAGCTGTGTGACCTTAGGAAACTTACTTAACTTCTCTGAGCTTCCTGTGTTCATCTGTAAAGTGAAGATAATCTGTCTCCACTGGTTGTGGTGAGTAATAAACTAATTCACATAAAGTGCTCAGCATTGTGGCTGGCACACAAAAAAATCATTCAATATTCAAGAATTTGGTAGCCACTGTTAATATAATTGTCACCATAGTCGCTGTTGGCATCATCACAATGAAGGAAGCTTCACCAGTAGTTTGAATAATTTGCATGCATGTAGGGCTTTATTTACCATTTGCAAAGTACTTTTTCATCCCACTTGATACCATGAGCCTACCCTGCTGCGCAACACCCATTTCACATTTCGTTTTCTTGCAAGTTGATAAGAGCAGTTCTTTCAAAGGTTTCCATGATATTTGGCAAGATCTACTGAGTCTAATATTCAGTATAAGGGACTGAGGAACGTATCCCTTTCCACAGAAGAGTAAAAAAAAAAAAAAAAAAAAAAAAAGGAAAACATTTTTAGGATAAATGTGGCCTGGTCCGCAGTATCTTTAATCAAGGCTGGAAGTTTAACTGCTTCATGAAATTTGGTTACAGCTGTTACACCTGTGAACAGATATAATCAGGGGAGATGAAAAGTTATTTTGACAAGAGTGCCTTTCATTTTCTTTTCCCTAATATAATATATCACTGATACCAAAAAGAGAAGTTTGAAGCAGACTCTCTGTTTTTGGTCGCTGGTCCTTTAAAATATCTTTAAAAAAATGTTTTTCCTTCAAGTTGGACCTCCTGAAAGACTATGTGTGTCTTATGTTACCAACATAAGCAGATTGTTGAATCTGATGCATTTAAATGTTTTCTTTGTTTTTGGAATTTTTTTTACAAAGGCATGCTTTCAAAAATGCCAAAATTATGGACCCATGGTAAGATCTTTTTGTGTTTTTTTTCCCCCACAGGAAAATACTTTTGAATTAACAACTGGGTAAAAATCCTCAATTGTATTGTTTAAGGGAAGGTTATACTTTTGATCTCATACAAATTTCTAGAATAAGGGGAGGCCTTGATTTACTAATTGAGCAAAACTTGTTAATAATTCAATCTTTTTGCTTTGGATCAGGGTGTTTTATCTAATTCAGGGAAGACACAACTTCTTTAGCTTCTTTATTAATTGTTACAGGGGACAGCGATGCTGTGGAAAGTGGGAGTCATACCATTTTACAGGTATAAATTTTAATGATTTCTTGCATAAAAAAACAAAAATTAACCAACAGGCATATGAAACAAAACTTTCCTGGGTATTTAGATTCTTTCTTTTTGGCCAGAGCTCCTGCCAGAAGCTGGAAGAAGTACTGAATTCAGAAATTTCTCCCTCTGTTCAGGTTATTCATGTTAATAAGTGACTTCTGATGTTGCAATATTAAAAAAATGTCAAGAAATAGTTTTCATTCTGTATCATTGATTTACTGATTTATTCCACACCTAGATTCTTAGAGTAGTTTATTAAGGGCACTTATTTTTGTATCCTTCGTCATAGATGACATGGTGAATGCCAAATTCTAGACTTATGTGTTAACGTTCGTAATTACGGACAGCAATCATACAATGAAGATGAGCCATAATATTTAGGTTTTATGAATTTTTAAGAAAGATTTTATTTATTTATTCCTGTGAGACACACACAGAGAGGCAGAGACATAGGCAGAGGGAGAAGCAGCCTCCTTGTGGGGAACCTGATGTAGGCCTCAGATCCCAGGACCCCAGGATCATGCCCTGAGCTGAAGGTAGATGCTCAACCACTGAGCCACCCAGGTGCCTCCATTTTATGAATTCTTGAAGCACTTCGAAAGACAGGGAGCCAGATTCACCTAATGCTTAAGCAATTGTTTAGTGACAAATCAGGAATCCTTAGATGCTATATTAAGATATAGCTGCAGAATTTTTTGGTAATACACAGAAAAGGTATGTTAGCATTGGTAGACAATCTATCCTAGAGAAAGGAACCACAGGGACAGGCTACCCCATTCAGCTTCATATGATCGATGAACAGTTTAGGTAACTTACTGCCAAGTATTCTGTAGGTGATTCCCAAATTTTAAACTTAGACTCCGCAAATATGACTAATATGTTACAGGTTGGGTGATATATGCTCAGCTCGATATTCCATACACAGAGGGAACCTGGATATTTTTCAGTCTCATAGCTGTGGGCACATATAAGACCAATTTAGCCTTAATAGCTCTTGAGAGCCCTTCCTGGACACCCACAGGACCTCCTGTGCATGCCCGGTCCCCTCCATCACTCCATCTGGATTCCACTGGGCTTGGCAGGTCCCCACTGCAGTTCAGCATGGAAAGTCAGAGCTGCTGGGAGGTCTGTGGTGGAGAGTGTGTGTGTGGGGGAGGTGGGAAGGTCCTTCTGTCCATGTGTCACACTTTATCACTTCAGCCTGGAGGCAACACAGTTTGGATCTGAGTCTCACAGTGGCTTTCATCAAAATAGAGCTGCCAGCTTCATCCGGCAATGTCTCTCTCCAGTGTCAGACTGAGTTTCCAGCTCCGGGAAACACATAGCATCCTCTTCCAGGTACCTGGCTTTTTATGTCTTCATGGATGTCTGTTCTCCACAATATGTCTCTTTCAGTCCAGACCTCCAACAACATTGGACATGAACTCATGCAAAGAAATGGGGATAAGAAGATAGGGAGCCTGTGGCTCTATGGGTCTCAATGAAAATGTTGCTACTATTAGTATATTTTATTTTTAATGGATCATTTTGGAAGATGACCTGAGTATCATGATGATTTGGGCTCAAAGGGTACACAGACCTAGACATTTAATAAAAAACTTATTTTGTGACATTGTGGTTATGACAATACCGGACTCTAAAGAAATCTACAATTAATAGGTGGTCACTGTAGGTACACAGACCACCACAGAAAGTGAATAGGAATTTAAAGAAATCTGTGAAAGATCAACACAACAACCTCACCATGATGGTTTGTCGGGGTGGCTCAGATATTGAAGAGACAGAGTGTTCAGTAATCAGTGACTTCTGCATGATATTTGCATAGAGAGAACTTTAAAAAGGTTACATTTCTTTTCTACTTTCATATTTACTTTGTGTTAAGGTTATAGGATCTCACTGGCAATGTTGCTGATGCTATTTTTGTGAACTCCGACTCAATGTTTAAATGTAGCTGGATGGAAATTTTGAGCTACAGCAACAATAAATATATCTGACATCCTTGTGCCTTTGAAGTTGTACGATGCCTGAGAGTCAGTCAAGGCTGTTTTTATGGGTTTTTTTTTCCCTTGAACTCTGAAGTAAGAAAGAAACTTTTGTTTATAAATTTCAGAGATTTTTGTCTTTGCACTTACCACGAAGTCAAATGTAGATATAATCCATTTTAAGCACTTTTGGCAAAATTTCAAATATGCCTGTTTTTTTGATAAGGGGAAAAATCCCAACTTTTTGTCAACATAAGTCCTTTACCCTGTGTTGCAGTATATGACTTCTGTCAGTCAAGCTGTGATCTTGTGGACTTAGGGAATACTGATCTTGTACAGGAAGTAAGAGGCAGATATGTAATCTGGGCCATCTTTCTGATCCATTTTAGTTATATCTGATTCTAAATTGAGTTATATAGAACTTAACACAACGGGACTCTGTTTCTTTATGCCTTCCTTCTACAAATGTAAAATTTTATATGCCGATCTGAGTGAAGTGATCTGAGGGTATTCAAAGTAAAAGATTAAAAAAAAACTCAAAACAAAGTAAAAGATTACTTGACTTGTGCTTCAGTGTGTTCTATATTGGACTCCTTTATGAAGATATTTGGTAACAGAACATTTGTGTGTGTTTGTATATGTGCATGATTTTTTTTTTAAATCACCACACTTAGATGTGTGAATTAGACTACAAGCGCCCTGTAGAGCAGGTTTGGGTGGTGGTGTTCACCATAACACTTGGTGGAAGGCTCTTGTGAAATAAAATGCTAGTATATAATTGTATAGACTTTATATTCCTGAAGATGTCTGTCTGTCTGTGACCTCTCATACAACCATCTGGTGAGATGGATTGGACAAGTCTTACAATCATTATTTCACAGACAATAAACCTGAGCCTCAGAGAAAGAGAGCAATTTGTGAATCCCTCCATGTCTTCTACTACACCTTTTTTGTGAGTCTGAGAGCTGAAACCATACATTGAATGGGAGGAGCATCATTACAAAAGGGTGTTGGGGAAAGGGCATGTCTGAAGTCATGTGTCAGGCTGGCGAGAGTTGACACGGAGCTGCGGGACTTCTCCATCACCACTGGTACCTCACCTCCTGGCCCAGAGGGGAACATCAAACTACATTCATAATGGCCATGAGCAAACCTCAGCATGACTGGCAATGAGGTTTCCAAATCAATGTTAGTGGAAATGAATCTCTGGCCTTTCTGAAAGTGGTCCTCAGGGTGCCTGCATCATGTAGTAGTTTTTACTTAAACTTCAGGGTCAGTCTTTGAGTTGCTGGACCATCTTTACCTAACTCTTACCTGGTCTTGCTCATTACAGACTGAATTATCTCTCAGATGTACAGAAAATTGTATTGAGAATGAGTCAACAACAGCAAACAGGACTGATTGGGTGCTTGCTACCTTGCATTTTTGGGCTGCAAATATTTTAATAACAAAATGTTCTCATCTCTCAGAGTCCTAGTGAGAGACTTAACATTTAACTAAATCTTGCACAGAATTCTGTGATGGACAATGTAACAATTTGGCTTGTCCCTTCCTAATACATTACCATCCAATTTGACAAATGGTTTAATGAGTACATGTTACAATATGCAGGTGGCTGTGTTGATAGTGGAAATATGGTGGAAAGTGACATGTGCACTGTACCTGCCTTTACAGAATATATAAACTAGTGGGGATAGATGAGAAGAAAGGAATGAAAGCTGGATTCATGTGATGAAAAGACATGTCCCATGAAATGGGCATATCTTTTCCAGAGAGGTAACCATGCTGGATGAAACTTTCTGGTTATTTCAGTTTAGATTGCTTGAACTCCTTAATGTGCTCACAGGTAGGCTCTGGTCTTAGTAGCTATAAAATATTGTGAAAGTTCCATGACCTCTTTGGACCACAGTTCTATCATTTGTGAAACACAGGAGTTGACTGGATATACTTATCATGGTGAACATTGCATAATATATAGAAGCACCGAATCACTCTGTTGTACACTTGAAATGAATATAATATTGTATGTCAACTATGCTACAATTGAACCAACCAAACAAAGGTCATTTCAGTGAAATGTTGAAAGCTCTTCCTCTAAGGTCAGGAACAAGGCAAGGGTGCCTCTCTCACCCCTCTGGTTTAACATAGTTCTGGAGGTCCTAACCAGAACAATTAGGCAAAACAAAAACCAAAAACCAAAAACCAACCAAACCAAACCAAACAAACCAAAACAAAAAACAAAACAAAACAAAACAAAAATAACACCCAAACCAGAAAGAGAAGAAAGAAAGGGCATCTAAATTGGAAAGAAAAAAGTAGAATTATGTCTGCTTATAAGTGATATGATTTTATATGTAGAGAATCCTACAGACTCCATCAGAAACCTCACAGGGTTAAAAAAAGAATTCAGTATGGTTTCAGGATACAAAAATCAATGTACAGAAATTGGTTGTATTTCTATACACTAACACAAATATATCTGAAACAGAAATGAAGAAAATAATCACATTTACAATGGCACCAAAACCAAAAACAATAAAATACTTAGAAATAAATCATGAAATATCTCTACCTGGAAAACTATAGGACTTGGATGAAAAAAAATTGAAGAGGATAAGTAAAGAGAAAGATATCCCATGTTCATGGATTGGAAGAGTTAATATTATAAAAAATGTCCACATTACCCAAAGCCATCTATAGATTCAATGCAATTCATATCAAAATTCCTGTCTCATTTTTCACAAAAACAGAAAAAAAATCCTAAAATTCATATGGAACCACAAAACACCCCAAGTAGACAAAGCAATGTTGAGAAAGAAGAACCAAAATGGAGGCATCATATGTCCTGATTTCAAATTGTGTTACAAAGCTGTTGTAATCAAAATAGTACGGTACTGGCCTAAAAATAGACACAGACCAATGGAAATAAATTGAGAGCCCAGAAATAAACCCACACATATAAAGTCAACTACTGTATGACAAGGGAACCAAGAATAGTCAACAGAGAAAGGGTTGTCTCTTCAATAACTCGTGTTGGAGAAACTGGATAATTATATACAAAAGAATAAAATTGGATCCTTATCTAACACCATTCATAAAAATGAACTCAAAATGGATGAAAGACCTGACATAAGACCCCAAGCTATAGAACTCCTAGAAGAAACCATAGAGAAAAAGCTCCTCGACATTGGCCTTGGCAATGTTTTTTTGAATATGACACCCAAAGCACACACAACAAAAACAGCAATGAAGTGGGATTATTTCAAATGAAAGGTCTTCTGTACAGCAATAAAACAATAAAAAAAATGAAAAGGCAACATTTGGAAGGGGAGAAAATATTTGCAAACCATATATCTGATAAGGAATTAGTATCCAAAATATTTAGGAAACTCATAAAGCTCAATAACAGAAAACCAAACATTCTGATTAAAAAACAGGTAAAAGACCTAAATTGACGTTTTTTTCAAAAAAGCCATACAAATGGCTGGCAGGTACATTGAAAGGTGCTACACATCACTAATTATTAGGGAGATGGAAATCAGAATCATAATGATATAACCTCACACCTATTAGAAGGGCTGTTATTAAAAAGACAAGAGGTGACAAATGTTGGTGAACAAATGGAGAAAAGGGCACTCTCCTGCACTGTTGGTAGAAATGTTAGGTGGCAGAAACACTATGGACAACAGTTCGGAGGGGCACCTGGGTGGCTCAGTCAGCTAAGTGTCTGCCTTCCACTCAGGTCGATCCCAGGGTCCTGGGATCGAGCCCTGCATTGGGCTCCCTGCTCCATGGGGATCCTGCTTCTCCCTTTCCCTCTGCCCGCCACTCCCCTTGCTTGTGCTCTCATTCTCTCTTTCTGTTAAGTAAATAAAAATTAAAATAAAAGGAAAACAGTTTGGATACTCCTCTAAAAAATAAAAAATAGACTATCCTATGATCCACAAATCCCACTTCTGGGTATATATCCAAAGGGAATGGAATCAGGATCTCAGTGAGACATCGGCACTCCAGTGTTCAACACAGTATTATTCACAACAGCAGAGACACTGGGAAACATCCTAAGTGTCTGTCTATGGATTAATGGATAAAGATGTTGTGATGTGTATATATATATATATATATATACACACACACACACACATTTCTGGAATCTAGTGTACAAAAATAGAAATAATACAGTTGTATAAATATTACTTAGCCATGAGAAAGAAGGAAATCCTACCGTTCTAGACAGCATGGATGGACATTGAGTGCATTGTTTTAAGTGAAATAAGTTAGATGAGAAAAACAAATATTGTCTGATCTTGTTTATATGTGGAAGCTAAAAAAGCCAAAACTCAGAGACAGAGTTAGAATGATGGTTGCCAGGGGCTCAGGGCTGGGAGAAATGGGGTGATGTTGGTCAAAAGATATTAATTCCCAATTATAAGAGGAACGACCTCTGGGAATCTAACGTACAACATGGTGACTATAGTTAACAACACTGTATTATGTACTTGAGACTTACTAAGAGTAGATATTAAATGTTCCCTTCCCCTAAGCAAGGTAATTATGTGAGGTGATGAGGAGGTGTTCACTAGCCCTATTATGGTAATCATTTTGCAAAATGCATGTATATCAAATGATCATATAGCACACCTTAAACTTACAAAATGTTATAGGTCAATTGTATCTCAGTAAAGAAAAGGGGATGGGAAGGTTGTTCAATCTGAAGTATTTTTGTTTTATTATTGCAATAGCTAACATCTATAAAAGGCTGCATGTGTGCCAAGCACTGGACGAGTGGCTTTGCTGGCATTGTTATATTTAAAAAGTAATTTTTGTGAAACTGCTATGTAAACCTGGCTACCATGTCAAGAGTGGTGTGGTGTTAGGTAACCATCAAGGCAGCAGACGGCTTTGCCCAGATGTCTTTCTGGATTTAGATATTTGAGATCCTTTGAGAGCAAACTTGCATCACATATATAAGCATCTATGTGCTGTTTATATAACATTTTATGTAAACTCTTTGTTCATGGTGAAAAATGATCCATTTGATGCCTTGCATAATTTAAAAGATCTCTCAAGACAAGCAGTTCTCAAGAACAGAGTCCTTCTATCCATTATAGCTATTTATTTAAAAAGGGACTTACATTTTAAATGCCCCATATCTACATATCTCCATCAAGTATCTCCTTTTGCAAAGTTGTTTCATTTTTTTTTTTTTGGAATTCCTTTGTGTTGTTTTCCAACATTATTAAATTTAATTGCTGCTTGGCTTCCCAGTTAGACTTGGTCTTCAGCTACCTGCCAGGGATTAGGGCACCTTCTTTTCAGTAATGTGAGAGCAGGAGAATGAACGATATCCTTGCAACTGGCCAAAAAGCACATACTAGGAGAAAGAGGTGGGGTGTTCAATGTCCCACTAATGTGGTAAATTAGTTAACTAACCATGATGATGCTGCCAATGACAACACTAATCATAATGTATAACATGACAATGGTAGGGGTGGTTGTGATAGTGGCTACTGTGGATGGAGTGTCTCAGAAACTTGGAAAGTTGGTTTGATTAACTATCTTATTTAACACTCACAACCACCAAGTGAATGTGGTGATAATTTATCAATTGATTGAGGATTAAACTGAGCCTCAGCATTTTCATCCACCTGTTCTAGATCACACTGTCAATAACAAGACAAGCTGGGATTTAAACCCAGTTCAATCTAATTCCAGGTCTTTAGCTTTCAGCTGTTCCCTAATGATGACCTTGACATCAGGATTCCTTTCTTAAGAGATAAGGTGGGT